GAAAGAGTGCTTTCTGTGCCCACAGGCTGCAAGCACTTTGCTCAGTAAAGTAATAATGGAGCTATTTTGTTTCCTGTAAAATTTGCTGTAATTATCTTCATTTTTAATCTATTTCTTGCCATTTCTTGATGTGTTGCCTATTTCTGCTGTAAACGAAGCATTAACTTTATGTTGTCTACAGGGTTCAGGTTTTGTAACCTAGGAATTCTTCCTGCAAATTACAATTATAAATGATGTGGAATATGCTGAAATATCTAAGATCTTCACACAGACAACAGGGACCAATCTTGACAGTATCTAATTGCCCATGTATTATTTATTTTTTTCAGTTGGCCTCAAGACCTTTATCTCAGATAACTGTTTCTCTATTGGCATATGATTTCCAACAAAAGGGAAATTATTTTTCCATTTTGGCATATTAGTGGAATATACATTCCCTTTCATAATGAGTAAACTGTATAGTCTTCTTTTCCTCCTCCTCTTCACTGCTCCCTGCCCCATCCCTTAATCCCAGCTCTAAATGCCAATATGTGATAATTTGTTAGCTTTCATCTAGGTAGGTAAGTAAGTGTTCCTCCCAGAAAAACACTTTAGAAGTTATTTTCAATAGTGGATTTTATTTTTCCACTCCACCCGGAAGAAGGTACTAGCAAAGAGATAGTTTAATTTTAAGCACACTAGATGCCCCATGCTACATGCCTTTGGAAATGGTAAACACTTGCAGTAAGCAAGCTTCAGAGTGCAATGCGTTAGATAACATAAGATATACATATAATGTGTTATATAATTATATAACATAATGCCATCACTGACAGAAAATCCATACTTGACATAGCCAACACGCACATTCTCCTGTCCCAGGCACAGTGCAAAACACTTTTGCACTGATACCCATCAGTCAGCCATTTGTTCCAAGGACTCAGAAGATGGCCAACCTCTGCCTCACCCACTCTACAACCAGATTCCCATTATCCAAGGTGCCACATGTTCGCACAACCCAAAACTTCTGTTTAAACAAGTTTTTGCTGAGGAAGAGACAGTAAGTGCTTTTGAGAAAAAAGGGAGGGGTGCAAAAGATGCCAGATTTTGAACACACCCAGTTGGTTTACTTACTACATGGAAGGCAAACTGTGCATTTGGGAGGTACCTGATGAAAACCATGTTTGTGATGTCCTGGTTAATTTGCCAAGCTATAAGTGTTACCATACCCATGCAGGGAGACTCAGAGACAGTCTTCTCTTGCAGCCAGGTTGCAGAGGTATGGGGCTCACTACTGATTTGCCGTTTAAGAAGCTTTGGTGTTTGTGAGAGGTGAGATTTTGCAGCAGAATATTACGAGAGGACTCATCAGACAAACTGGGTTGATGTGTCACTGACGTGGTTGGCACATTTTAATATTAGATTAGACACTTTGGCAAGGCAAAGATTTCAGGGGGGTAGTTTTATCGCTATGTTGTCTTCTGTGCATTAAATTTTCATGAGAGTCTCTGACTTAGAGCAGTGAGATTTGCCACTAATAGCTCTTCGACACGAAGATACTTATTTGCTGTTTTGCAAGGAATTTAAGTATCACAGCACTATTAAAAACTCATCAGAGATGATCAGTGATTGGACATGCACACAATGGGTGAGTGGATTGGTGCTGTCGTACAGTTTTCTCAGGTCCCTTGTAGCCAGTACCATGAAGCTTATTCCAAATGGGCTGTGCCATCCAACAAGCTCAAGATTTAAAATGTGTCAGGCTTGTTGTGTGCCTGCCTGAGTTTCTGTCAGGGAAGTCCAGGAACCCACTACTCATCTCCACAGCTAAGGTTATACTAAAAACCCAGTAAATAAAATGCTATCCTGGCGCATCCAGTGGACGAGGTCTGATTTTTACTGTTAATGTAATGTTGCCATAAAAAAAGGAAAGAATTTCTGTTGCAGAAAAGAGGTAACAATTTCTGTTGCAAAAGAAAGAGGCAATAAATTCTGTGGCAAAAAAAAGGGCAGACGAGTTTGGTAGAAGCTAAACCCCCTTGTGTTCCAGCTTGCCCTCAGATATCAGAGCGGCTGGGGGCAGCTAGGCTTAGGTTCTGAGTGATGCCCAGCTCAACGTTACTAATGCGAGGCGCCCATGTGCCTTCCATCTGGTGACGTCCCTGGATTTACGAGGCCAACCTTCACGAGGGTGGTAACATACTCACACGGCCAAACTCAGTGTGTCAGTGTCAACAGGGACTCACACAGCCAGATCAGAATCAAATATCGTTTACTGAAGCAACAGATACACAGATTCATTCTGTTTGCAGGTGATAGTGACTGTCTGCAAAGCAC